CAGTTGCAGAGCAGCTCTGGCTGTGCCATACCTCTGGGTAGACACTGAAGAAAACACAGCCCGTTTCAAAGAAACTCGCAGTGCCTGCAAGCTCCCCCACTCTTCCCTCTCTGTAACCGGTCCTTGCAGCTCTTCCCATGGAGCAGGGAGTCAGCTGCTTTCAGGCATCAAAGCGCTTTGTCCGTGCAGGCAGTGAGGTCGGGCAGCCCCGGACTGGGTGTGCTGCCCTCACTGCGGGCACTGTGGCCCGTGGCTGCGCGGTGCGGGCAGGGCTGCTCTCCAGGGACTGCTGGAGTTGGATGCTTGTTGGAAAGGCCATCCAGCCCCTTTCTTTTGGCATCTTTGGCCCTGTCCGTAGCAGGACGTGTTCCCGGGCAGTCCCACAGACCCCGGTGCACATCCTTGCAGCGAAGGGGTCCCACCTCTGCAGCCCCTCAGTGAAGGGATGGCTCAGCCCTTCCTCATGCCGGGTGCTCTACACGCAGTCCCTGCTCGGGCTGCCTTCTGGTTCCAGCAGAAGACCTGCAGATAAAAGAGACAAGTGGGCAGACAGGGTAAGGAGGGCAGCGTAGCAGGATGCACATGTGCCTTTTGCCAGTCTGGAACAGTGTGGCAACTTGCTTCTTGCCTGTCTTTGTGTCCCAGAAAACATTGTGAGATCAGCACAAGTCCCTGAGCTCATTTGCACATGGGAATCATCTACTTGCGGCATTTAGCAGCTTGTACAGAGTCGGCTCCTGACAAATGGGCCACCGTTCATGGCAGGAGGCGATGGTGAGACCCTCCCTGCCTTTATCAGGGCCCTGCAGAAGGAGCTGGTGGGAGCTCCTCCCTGGGTGGGAGTGGGAGCGAGGCGCTGCCAGAAGAGATTAGAGCGGGACTCCGGCCACAGCCAGAAGACAGAGCAGGATTACTGAACCTGACTGCAGCCCTTGAAATCCAGCCCTTGAAATCCAGCCTGAGCCTCTGGTTTGTCGGAACTTCCCCTTTGCTTATTGCCTTAGCCCACGGATGCAATGCAATGGGCTTGGTCAGGTCCAGGCTTCTCTGTTGGGGTGAAGGGGCTAGGACGCTCATCCAGGGGCGGTAATGCTCTGTGGGGTGAGGCTGTGGGAGCAGGAACACGCCTGTGAATAGGAACAGAGGAAGCCACTAACCAGGGCCAGGAGAGGGAAAGGGAAAAATATAGATTGTCGGCAGAGAAGGGGAACTTTTTCCTGAAAGAAAAGAAACGGAGGGAGAATAGAAGCACATTCCGATGTGCTGTTCTATGTTTTTTACTTTAGAAGGTCTTGCAGCGCTTTGCAAAGTCCAGATCTGAGGCTTCTCCCTTGGGGAACTGCTGGCAGCACCCTTCTGGTAGTTCACAGCTTGGATGTCTGCAAGTCTGTGGAGCACAACACCTGCGTGTAGGATTTAGCAGCTGTGTAGGAGAGCAAGAGGTACACAATGGCAAGTGAGGCAGTTTATTTTCTCCCCCGGAATAGCTCCTTCCTGGAAGGCAAAGGGGAATGGAAAGAAACACTGCAAACTCCAAAGAAAGGAAAACCAGTAGAGGCGGTCTCTGCATCTGGAAGCAGTTGCTGTGTATGTTGGGGCACAGGGATAGCGAGTGACTGTGTGTCACAGGCGTACAAACGCCGGGGGGTGCATGTAGCATGCCTGTGCTACGCTTTGTGCTTGTTACTGGATGGTCACTGCGCGGGGGGTGTGTGCCTGTGTTTAGATACACCGCTGCTGTGCTGAATGGGGGGTGTGTATCTTTTTGATATGCACATCTACTTGTGTCCATGGGGTCTCTGTGTTTCTTGCTGTCACTACTCCCTTTTGCTGAAACTCAGGAGATGGCAGTGACCCAAGCTGCACTTCAGTTCCCTGGCTTATCCAGTGTTGTCTTGATCCCTGTGACACCCCGAAGTATAACAAGCTGTCGTGAATGAGTGCCCCCCGAGCGGTAGGTAGGCAGTCCTGACATGCACACTGACATCAGGAGGGCAATATGACTGCAGAGCTGTTTCCTCTGCTTTTACCATTTGAGCCAAGCTATCCCTTGTTCTGTGGCTGCACATGTCATCTGATGTGCTGCATCTCTCTGTGCATCTCTGGACGGTGTGTGCTGAGCACGGGGAGCAGAAAGGCAGTGCCTCTGAAGCACTGAAGCCTCAGCACGTCCTCCAAGGCCCTGGCCCCCATCACCCAGAGCGCTGGGAGGGCACCGCGACCCCTCTGCTCGGTGGCAGATGTTACCTGTGAAATGCGGGGCTGCCGGGTATGTCTGTGGGGCTGCTCTTTCTCTGCTGTTCCCGAGGTGGTACCGGCAGCTCTGACCCGCTCCCTGCACTTGGCAGCAGTCATCTGCTTTCCGGAGGCGGCTTGGTATTAAATATCCTGTCTGACACAATAATGGAGAGAAAATGAACAAATTCCATTAGCGGCTGGCGATCCCTGCAGGGTCTGCGCTGGAGCGAGGAGAGAGCCTGTATTTTTAGATAGAATGCAATGTAACTTACTGGCTCTCTCAAAGCTGGGGAGTAGATAACCAAGGAGGGAGAGAGGGGACGCCAGGCTCAGGTTTCAGCTGAAGTGCCGGACTATGGCAGCGCGAAAGGGCAGGTCCGGTCCAGACGTGGCTGTGAGTATACAACGCGCTTCTCCTTCGTGCCCTCAGAGACCTCCGCTTTGCTTTTCTGCTTGCTTTCTGCCTGTGGTCTCTGCTGCTGGGCGTGCTGGGGCTTCGGGAGCCCCTTTGCTGCTGGAGCCTGTAGAGTTTTACCATTTTAATCTTCACAGTTCCGTGTGTGTCCCATGGGCGGGAGAGCCTGGCTGAGCTGTGCTGTGATTTTCCGAGGGGTTTGCTGTCGAAGGTCCGTGCTGTGGCTGGCATGCCGGTGGTGTAGCTCAAGTGCTGCCCTGCCACTGATCCTGACCGAGATGCAGAGGCTTCTAGCAGGGTCTGGAGCTGGAAAAGCTCTTTGCATTCAATCCTGTTGCTTGAAGCTCTCCGTGTTTCCTCACCAGACCCCAGACAGCACACAGGGTTCAGAGCACAAACGGGCACTGCTAAGCACGGCACTGGTGCTGCCTTCTGCCTCTTGCAGTGGATCATCCTGTACGAGCAGAGCACCGAGGTGCCACGTCATGTCTCCACTGTGCCCACAGCCCTCTGCAAAGCCGTCAGCTCTGCTGTAAGCCTGGGGGTTCTTCCCAGATGGACAGGGCTCTCCTCTGAGGTGGCAGCCAGTGAAGCCAGCTGGCAGAGGGGGTCATGCGATCGGCACGTGTTCCCCCCGCACGCGGAGGCTGCACGCCGGGACAGGGCATGGTGGTGCTGCCCTCCACCACCTGTCCCTCTGCCCCGGTGGGCTGCCCCAGGAGGACCGTGGCACCCGGCCACCGCTGCGGGAGCCCGGGCTGAGCTCTGCGGGGTGCGCCCAGCACAGCGGGCGCCAGGACAGCCTGCCTGTGGCACTGCCTTCTGCAGGGGGTAGCCGAGCGGGGGACCCAGAAGAGGGTTCTCTGTGGTAGGAGGGTCGGGCAGAAAGGACAGGCTGGAGGAGGCAGTTGGAGGAGAGCAGAAGGCAGCCAAGTTGTGCTGCTCCAAAGTCTAAATTGAAATAGCTGAGGCTGCAAAGAGAAGGGAAGAGTGGAGCCCTGAACCCATGAGGTGCATCATCCTGCCTAGGTCTGCCTCCAGTGCTGTCCTCTGTGGCCGTGCTGCTTCCAGCTCCGGTCCAGGAGCTTCTTCATCCTGGGTGCTCCTCCGCAGCTAGGCTGTGGGCTCTGCAGGATGGCCTGGGATGGTAGGATGTAGGCTCTCACAGCACAGGAGGTCCCTTGGTCAGTCCAGGTAGATGAGAACAGTCTTTTTTCAGTGGTGCCCAGTGACAGAACAGGAGGTAACGGGCACAAACTTGAATACAGAAAGTTCCACCTCAACCTGAGGAGGGACTTCCATCCTGTGAGGGCGGCAGAGCAGTGGCACAGGCTGCCCAGAGAGGTGGGGGAGTCTCCCCCTCTGGAGCCATCCCAAACCCGCCTGGACGCCGTCCTGTGCCACTGCTGGAGGTGCCCCTGCTCTGGCAGGGGGTGGCACTGGGGGAGCTCCAGAGGGACCTTCTAACCCCCACCAGTCTGGGATTCTGTCCCAATGCGAGTGGTACAAGAGGGGTTCTGATTTTCTGTTGGAGCTCAAGGCAGAGGATTGTGTCCTGCTCCCTTGCCATGGATGTCTCATGGCTCTTTGCTGCAGAGAGCCTTTTGGGCTGGACCTAGCAGGCAGGCACCAGCTCGTAGTCACCGGTCCAAGGTCCCAGCCTCACCAAGCCACATCACTGCATTTCCACTTTTTGTTGTTCTCCAGCTTCTGGTGAGCCATCCCATGGTCTTCATTTGCTGCCTTACACTGCTAAATAGTGCTGCTTGAAGTATTGCTGTGCCTTGCCTGTGGTGGTAATGTTCTAGTAGTGCGGGGAGGCACTGCCTTGTTTCTGTTGGAAACGAGAGTTGCGACTTTCCCGGCCTCAGGGTGCTCAGCTGAGGTCATTGTTGCTGGTGCTGGTACTCGAGCTCACTGCCGCGGCTACCCAGCAGTTTCTGGAGGACCACAGTGGTGGACTCGCCACAGCTGCAGTCTAAGCCTCATCCATGGCTGCCGTCTCTCACCCAGGACACGGAGCCGTTTCCTGGGCCAAGGGGGGCTGCCACGATTGGGGTCCCCTTAGAGCTTCCTCCCTACCCTGCCCGCAGTGCTGGGACGAGCTGCAGACCCGGCGTGGTTCTCCTGCCCCGCCATCTGGATGCTTGTCACTCTAAGTCCAGGTCCCAGCCTGCTTCTTCCTGTCTGATTTGAGGCACCTCAGTCTGTCCCAGCAGTTCCCACCTTGACCTGCCTGGTCTCTGTAGTCACGTTCTCTGTAACTGAGCGAAGAACTGGCCCTGTGCCGGTGATGGGGGAGAACAGGAGGACTCTGAGTCTCATACTTTTTCTTTTTTCCCCCAAGGCCGATGCTGCAACCAGTTTCTTGAGAGCTGCAAGATCCGGGAATCTGGACAAAGCCTTGGATCACCTCAGGAATGGGGTAGATATTAACACCTGTAACCAGGTAGGTGAAACCCACGGGGCTTCTGGTACCACCTCTAGTTCAGGTGAAGATGTGCCGCGTGGTGGCTGGGTGCCCCGCTGAGGGCTGGGTGCGCACCACGCTGGCAGAGCATGGAGCTGTGACTGCCAGCGCGATGGGGGATCCCCTGGGGTACAGAGCTGAGTGTCCTGGCAGACCCCGTCCTGCTCTGACCTGCGCCACCCCCTGCCAGGCCCCAGGCAGCCCCTCGTCCCCGCTGTCAGGGGCAGCGGCACAGGAGCCCACAACCAGAACTGAGCTGAGGGGAGAGGCTGCGCAGGGCAGCGTGAGAGCCATCCCTTGCTGGGGAGGCTTCCACAGCTGAGCTGGGTGGGAACAGGTCCTACGCTGGGGAGGAAAACGGCTGACCAGGAGGCAGATCTGGACCAGTTGCCTTTGGGGCAGGGAGGGCAGCAATGGCTGTAACGATCCGGGGAGCCTGGCAGTACTGGCTGGAGCGTAGCAAGGGGCAGTGACCGGTAAGCAGAGAGGGAGATCTGAGGCTGCTCCGGGGTGGCAAGCAACTGGGACAGCTGGAAGGGGCCCAGCTGCTTATCAGAGGGCAGAGCAGATATGAAGTTGTGAGGAGTGTAGCACAGTAGCTGGGCTGTCGCGGGAATCATTCTTGAGGATATTCCCCTTGCCTGCAATGCTCAGGCTTTGAGGTTCCCAGAAGCTGCGGTTTAACACAATCAGGGGACATTTGCAAAATTCCATTCTCGGTGGCCTGGGAGGTGTTGGGCTGGTGGAGCCCCTCCTAGCCGGGAGCAGAGACAGGTCTGCCCCAGGAAAAGAGAGCTGCAGGCACAGAGGAATTGCTTGCACATAATCGACAGAACATTTTGTATCTGTGTAGCTGCCAAATGCAAGTGCGGAGCCTGAGTCGGTGTGGGTGCTGTCGGGAGGGACTCGGGGGCTTGGGCTGAGCAGGGGGGACAGGGACTGCACTGTCGGCTGCGTTCCAGAGCAGCAGTGATGCTGGGGAGGCTGGCTCGGCGGGTAACACAGATGCCTGTTCACCTGGTTCAGTATCAAGTCCCCAAACCAAACGTAGCTCAGACCTACTGATTCGTGCGCTGCAGTGGCCAGTGCGCTTCCTGCAGACGGGTCCCCCAGGAAATGTCACCGTCTCCACTTCTTTTCTGACTGATGGTACGGTGCAGGGACGTTGGGCATCTGCAGACCCCTGGGGCACACTGCAGCTTGCCTTCTCCTCTCCGGGACACTAGATGGGGTTTGGGGAAAGCTCAGGAGTTGCTCATTTTGTTCATAATAAGCATCCAGATACTCTCGAACACTTCTATCCTGGGGCTGTATGGGGACATATGGGACTTAGATCAGAGGGGTCTTGTAGGGAGAAGAGGTAGAAAATTTTCAGTTTCAGAGTCCTTTGAAGATGAGCTTTCCCATGGGGTCCTGTTGGTGGGTTAGAGGCTCTGACCCCATAACTATTTTGGAGATGTACATGGTTTGAAACAAGGAGAGGCCGTGCAACATGCTCTTAGCACTGGGCTGCAGGATTTGGCTTGCACTTGGCACTGGGCAGATCACGTGTTTGCCCCTGGCAGGATCTTCCAAGTTGCTGTGCTTCATTTCAGAATTTGGCCCAGTCGTTAAGCCCAACTGCTTCCATAGTCTCTCTTGGGGGAGCAGAAGCCCCTGTAATTGAGCCATAGCAGCGGGCCAGTGGCTGTAAGCAGTCACGCTGCTCTTGCTTCCAAATGCTTAGCTGCAAATGAGACAAGTAAGTGTTTAATGCACTCACTGCTCCGTTACAGACCTCTGGGAAAGCAAGTCAGAAGGAGCAGGGAGATCCTGCTGCTGGCCTCTGTGCCACTGTCCTCTCCAGGAAGGACTGGGGATGCTGCTGTGTGTGGCACATTCCTGTGTGCCCTGTGTGTGCAGAGGCTGGAGCAGAGCCTGGCAGGGAAAATCACCTTACTTTGCCTGTCCACAAGCGGCTCAGAGAATTCCCTCCTGGCAGTTTCTGTGGGTGTCTGGAGGAGAGGGGCAAGAGCTGGTAAGGGCTGTGTTTGGCCCCGCTGGCCCATGCCTTCTGAGATGGGAGACTCCACAGACGGAGCATGCCGCAAATGTTCATTCATTTCCGATGCCAAGCCTAAAAGCAGAGGGAGGATTTCTACGTCCACCGCTCCTGTACCACGCTAGTGCAGAGGAATATGTGGTTCTGGAGAGGGCTCCGCAAAGAATTAAAACAGGGAGACCCAGCCACCAGCTAAAGATGATGGCTTTGAACTTCTTCCTCATCCAGAGAGATGGTCAGTCATCAGCTGTCTCCACTGACTGGCTGCAAGTCCTGTTTTCAGCCAGATTTCTGGTGCTGGTGAGGGGATTCAACACCTTGATCAGGAGCACGTGGCTACGACAGTATGAGGCACTTCTTTTGGTGACATCTTTGCGCTGGTTCCTGCCATCTCCCTGAGGTTAGATGGCACTTTGGGGTTTCCTTCTGAGGAATATCAGACCTGTGGGAAAGGTCCAACCTCACATGTCCTGTATAGAATAAAGAGGGATATATGTGGTCAGACCTATCCCACAGGCCCTGTATTCTTACTCAAGTGCAGAGACCTTGACATGCCATCTGATCTTCATCCCGCCAATTTCATCCCCTCCATTGCTGCCATCCGCATCAGCGTCTTCGTCATCCACCTCTCCCGTGTTTTGAATTCCTGCATGTTCCCATCTCATCCATGAGGAGCGGGAGGACTGAGGGTGAGCGCGCCTTGCTGCCAGGACCCTCGCCAGCAGGCACCAGCGCTGCGCTAGCACACGGGTGCCGGGAGATGGACTTAGTCTGCTTCGGTACAGGCTACGCACAAACTCCTGCCTTTTGTAGTTTTCTGTAGGGCCGCGTTTGTTGCATTGACAGCCAGTGACTGGGATTTCTGGGAAGTGTTTGCAGGACTTGGTGAGGGGAACAGCAGCTTTCAAATTAAGCACATCCTGTGGCGGTTTTGGGTCAGAGGAGCTGTCAAGCCAAAGCCAATGCGCAAAACAGCCTGTATTGTTCCTGGAGCAGAAATATCGATGGGCCGCTGGGAAACGATCTTCTGCAAACATTTTGCTTATTGCTGCAAGGCCAGAGAATAATGATTCCTCACAGGTTTTCAGCATTCCAAAGGTTATTTATGAAGCCCTTGTGTAAGAGGGCATATGTGCTGAGGAGAGCAACCGAGCATCTGTGATCTTGCACTCCAGGAGTTTGTTGTGTGAGTGTAACCGAGAAAAAGCATGTATCTGTGGCTACATGTCCAGCTTGGGAGCTCACGAAGGTAAGGTATCAGTGACCATCTGTATGGGGTTGTGTAGGTGTGTCTTAGACAAAGAAGCCGGTCTTGACCGAGGCGATGGTCTCAGCTTAGCCAGGCCTGGTTGGGAGCGTCTCCTTTCGGTGGCTCCGTTCTGTGGGTGTTGCAGCATTTCCACTTCGTTTCCCTTGGAAGCAGGTCTTTTGTGCTTGAGGGTCTAGGGGACGTTGGAGTTGGTGTGCTGAGGAAGCCTGTGGATCTTTAGGTTTTTGCTCTTTGTGCTGTAGTCAGAGTTGAGCAGAAGAATCTGTGACTCTTTGACTACGATCCTGGATAGCTGGTGCTTCGAGTGAGAGAGAGGGAAAAACTTTTTTCCAGTATGATAACATTCTTGAAGCCGTTCTAAGTTTAACCAGAGTGTTGAGGGCTGGAACTGGAGCCTTCCTGGGCACTTTCTGCTCCGTTACCTATATTCAGGTGGGGATGAAGCAATTCTGTGAAGTGACCTTCCAGTACTCTACAGGAGCTGAAACAGATGGTTGGGAGGTGGAGTACTTGGGCAGGACTGTGTGCTCCCAGGGAGCTGGTGGCTCTGCCACGTGATGGCATTGCGTAGGGGTGAGTAAACACAGGGCATCCACCTGGGAGAAGTGAGGGACAAGGGAAGTTTGCCTTACGGGGAAAAAGTGACATGTGAAATTGCGTGCAAGTATTTAACCTCTTTGCCAGCAAATATCCCAGCCCTTTTGTTCACATTTGGGAAGTGCAAGAGCGTGTCAGAAATAACGGAGCAGAAGCTGTCTTAGCAGTGCCTCCTTCTGACAGCCCAGGGATGCTAAAAGGGCTCCGGGCCGACCTTTGCTCTGGTGCGCAGGTTCCATCTGCAGGAAAAAGATGAGCTAAACTGGGGCACACGCAGAGATGTTCCTGAGAAGGCACTTCAGTTGTTTGGGAGCTTCCTGGAGCTGGTACAGCTCAGCAGTGCCACAGCCAACACTTTCTCTGTGCCCTTTGCTGCAGCTGAACTCCGAGGGAGCAAAGCCGACCTTCTGCTGAGCACGGGCTGCGGGATGGGGCACATTGGAGTTGGTGGCCACTTCTGTCTGTGTAAATGTTCAGGTTTAGTGTTTGTATGCACACTTACACAGCAGCTCTGGTGCATCCTTGCTCTGGGCCATCCACAAAGCTCAGTTCTGTGCTTTAGGTTTGAAAAGCCCAACTGCGGGCAGGCGACCGCAGAGAAGGACACCCCAAGGAAAGTCACCTGAGCAAAGGCAGGAGTTCACATCAGGGATGTGCTATGAGCAGGGAGGACTAAAACAGTGCCTGTGGCGCCAAACACACACATCCTGAGCTGTAGTGCCACCCATCCGTAGGAAACTGTCTACAGGGGCTGTGTGTTTTGCTCATGGAGAAACCTCCAGCATTATTCAGCAGCTCAGCATCCAGCAGCTCGCAGTCGCTCTGGCAGCATGGAGCTAAGCATGGCTGACATTGCTGATGCCACTACAGGGCTCGAGGGCAAGGCGAGGGCTCCTGCTCCCACTGACCAACACTTTCTCCAGCATGGGACGAGTGCCCACCCTTGTGTCTGCTCAGGAGCCCAGAGCACGGGGTTTCCCGGAGAGCCCCAGCCCCAGCAGGTCACTAATGCCCCTCTCCCATCTTTTCTCCCTCCAGAATGGGCTGAACGCCTTGCACCTGGCCTCCAAGGAGGGCCACGTGAAAATGGTGGTGGAGCTGCTGCACAAGGAGATCGTTTTGGAGACAACGACCAAGGTGAGGACAAGGGAGCCTGGTCATGTTAGTCACAGCTCCGCACCCTGCTGTTACTGGCAGGCATACCAGTGTTGCTGAGCAGTGAATCACACTGTTTGCTCTCAGCCCCTGGAGAGGCTGTGCTGGTGGCGGTGGTGCTGGGATGGGGCCTGGGGACTAAGTTCTGATTTCAGCCCAGTCCAAGCTGTGCTGGGCTCCTCCAGGTGGGTGGGAGGTTCGTTTTCTCCTGTGCCTCTGCCCTGTGGGGACCACGGTGGCCACTGTGAGCTCAGGAGGGGAGTAACAGAAGCCACAACATGTGCTAGTGCTGTCTTCACTCACATCTCCTCCCGGCACTGGCTGCCAGCTCGGGTCAGCCCTTGCTGCCCCGGGGCAGCCCCTGCGTGCCACAACCTGAGATGGCCTCGGTACCATCGTCGCCAGCCCGGAGAGCTCTGCTGCTCCGAACATATCATTCTCTCCTTGCATCACCATGGTGGGGTGCGGTTCTTGCTCGGTGACAAGAGAGACAACGCGCAAGCAAGCAGGGCTGACAAACGAGCAGCCTCCAGCACCGTCTGAAGGGCTGTGAGAGCAGGAGGGGGTCTGGCTCCCCACCTCCCAGTGCTCCGGCAGCACTCAGGGCGCGGAGCGGAGTCTGGCGTTCTGCCACACCGCCCAAAGGCACCAGTCAGAAGAGCCTGCGTCTGCATTTTCCAGCCTGCTTATCATCCCTCAGCTCTGCTGGGATGCCTTGGCTACCGGGGCACACACTGCAGTTTTGCTTGCAGACTGCCAGCTCAGCTCCCCCGTCCTCCCCCCCCATCTCTCTGGAGATACACAGAGCCTGACAACGCATACAGCTCTTCCTGCCAGTAACTTCAAGGGAAAGATGAAATCACTCTCTTCCCTGGCCAGCAAACGTGAAGGGTAGCTGCCGGCCCTGTAGCAGGGATGGGGCACGGCGCGAGGGCTGCGCGGCCGCACAGGCTTCCCCGGCCAGCTGCTCTCTTTGCACGTGTGTTAGCACATGTCAGGCCCAACTTTCCTCCATTCTGGGCTGCTCCAGCTCCTGAGCGCTGCCCTGTGGTGTCTTTCAGAAGGGAAACACAGCCCTGCACATCGCTGCCCTGGCTGGACAACAGGACGTGGTCCGGGAACTGGTGAACTATGGGGCCAACGTCAATGCGCAGTCACAGGTAGAGTGGCCTGGGCTGGGATGGGAAAGGCATCCAGCATGCACGATGGTCGTGTCCTCATGGTGGGAGCTGTGCCCAGCATGGGCACTTCAGCAGCCCTTTACAGTTTCTCTCTAGTCCTGTTCAGGGGCAAGGACTGCTCTGCCAGACTCCTGAACAAAGACACGCGTGCGAGTGGTGGGGAGGGAGCCTCAAGGGATATTGGGAGACCAGCACAGTCTCTCTGCTGAGGGAGTCCATGGCAGCACGCACAAACACGGTGAACTCAGCCTGAGAGGACTTGTGGACGATGCCTCCCTGGCGCAGCCATGAGGTCTCCAGCAACCCCTGCAGCGCTGCACACTCTGCCTCCTTTGTTCTCTCTTTCTTGGGCCTGGTGGGGCTGCAACCTCCTTTGCCTGATGGGAGTAATGTCCCTGAAGCAAGGGAGGGTAGTGGCAGTGAGTGGAAGGCAGTGTCTCCTGGGTTGACTGTTGTTGTGAAGCATTCTCATGGTTCTTTCTGGATGTGGGGAGCCTTGGGCTCCAGCTCTCTGTGATTGCTCCACCGCTTCCATTTTTTTTTCCCTTTTCCCTCCCACACTGTGTCTGCTTTTGCCCCAGTTCAGTGAGCTGGGGGTGTGGGTGTTGACGGGGCGCGGGTCTGCAAGGAGCCAGAGAAACTCAGAGTTGTGTTGATCTGCATGGCCTTGTATCTGCAGAAAGGCTTCACACCCCTCTACATGGCAGCGCAGGAAAACCACCTGGAAGTTGTCAAGTTCTTGCTGGAAAATGGAGCCAACCAGAATGTAGCCACAGAGGTGAGATCCTTGGGGGGGACCCCAGGGCCCTGCTTGTTGGGGCTGCTGTTGGATATGCCATGGCTCCTTGGCTCTCGCCCTCTCACCTGCCTCTCCTTGGCAGGATGGCTTCACGCCACTAGCTGTGGCTCTGCAACAAGGGCACGAGAACGTGGTTGCTCACCTTATCAACTATGGGACAAAGGGTAAGGTCCGCCTGCCTGCCCTGCACATTGCAGCCCGCAATGATGACACTCGCACAGCTGCCGTGCTGCTGCAGAATGACCCCAATGCTGATGTCCTCTCCAAGGTGTGTGGCTTTCTCATCCTGTCTCTGGGAGCTTTCCCACGTCCCCAGGGAGAACAGCAGCTTGGTATGCTGTATTTATCCATCCTTTCAGCAGGGAGCATGTGTCTGGCTGGCCTGATCCCTCCTTCTTTCTCCTAGACTGGATTTACCCCCTTGCACATTGCAGCCCACTACGAGAATCTCAGTGTGGCCCAATTACTGTTGAACCGTGGAGCCAGTGTCAACTTCACACCCCAGGTGAGCGCCAAGTGGGAAGGCTGCTGGGACTGCAGCACCAGAGGAGGATGCTGTGCCTCCTTTCCATGTAGGAGCCTTGCAGAAGATAGCACACCGATGCATGTCTGGGGAGTTGCCATTAATAGCCAGTGTGGGCATTTTCTACGATGTCTTCCCTCTGCTGGATGCAGCCAGGCATCCCTGGAAGCTCTTGAGAACTTGTGTCCAGGCTGAGGGAAAGCCGGTGCTGTCGCTGCAGGGCTATAAAACCCCTGCAGTTCAGTTGGCGTGCCTCTTCCAGTCCCATGGGTGCAGCCAAATCTGTGACCTGGTGCTTTCCTGCGAGCTCTGTGCAGCTTCTGTCCACAGCATTTAGCTGCACCCTCTCTCCCAGCCCTGTGAAACAAGCTGCTCCCCTGCACCATCCCTGGGCAGGGATTTAGCTCTCCTCTGCCCTTTGTTCACCTCGTGGCTCCTTGCAGCCCCGCAGGGGAAAGAGAAGGGGTTGCTCCCTCTAACAGACTGCCGTTCCTTCTGTCAGAATGGGATCACTCCCCTGCACATAGCCTCCCGCCGGGGCAACATCATCATGGTACGGCTGCTGCTGGACCGCGGGGCCCAGATAGAGACAAGGACCAAGGTGAGACCTCTTCTGAATCACCCACAGGTACATGTGTCAGCTCTCTCCCCAAGCTCCTTGCATCCAGGGAGCACTGCTGTGCTGCTCTGCCCAGTGCTGTGAACACCTTGCTGGGTGCGTGAGGGAAGGTGCCTGGTGCGCTAAGGGGGTGGACCGGGTTTTTCGCTGGTGCATGTAGAGGTGAGGGGAGGCTGCATGGCTACAGTGGGTGAGCCCTGGGGGCTGAGGGCAGGGTCAGTTTTGCCTTATTTTGCAAGAAAAAAGTCCAGAGTCCCTGTTACTCTCCTACCTGAGGGGACCTCTGCCCTTCCTTGCCCATGATGAGCCCTTGAACCCTTCTGTCTCCCCAGGATGAGCTGACCCCTCTCCACTGTGCAGCTCGCAATGGACATGTGCGAATTGCAGAGATCCTGCTGGACCACGGGGCTCCCATTCAAGCCAAAACCAAGGTACCCATGGGACTCTGTGGGGTTGTGCTTGGGGCCGGGTCCCAGGGCTGTGCACAGTTGCTGGACGCCACCCGTGGCTGGGCTGGGGCTGAGTTTTTGGTCTACCAAGGGCAAAGGAGCTTCCTGACCCCCTCCTTAGCCCCAGATGGAGCCCTTTGCTTGAGGGCTGCATGCTTCAAGGGGACCAGCCCTGAGAGGGGATGGCCTGGGGACAGCCTGCCCCATGGCAGCAGCTCTTCAGGCCCTGCCCTCTGCTCAGCTGTAAGCCTCGGCGAGGGATTTCGGGGCTCCTCTCTGGTAACACTCTGGGGAGCATGCCGTCTCTTCTGCCCCGGAGCTGTGGCCAGGGGAGCGAGGCAGGGGCTGGGTGGGATGCCACGTCCCTCTCCTGGTTCAGCCCTGAGCCCCCCCTCTGCGGTCGCAGAATGGCTTGTCGCCGATCCACATGGCAGCGCAGGGCGACCACCTGGACTGCGTGCGCCTGCTCCTGCAGTACAGCGCCGAGATTGACGACATCACCCTGGACCACCTAACGCCGCTGCACGTAGCCGCGCACTGCGGGCACCACCGGGTGGCCAAGCTGCTGGTGGAGAAGGGGGCCAAGCCCAACTCCCGAGCCCTGGTGAGTGAGGAGGGGCAGGCAGGGCTGTGGCGGGGCAGAGGGAGAGTGTTCTCACAAATGACTGCTCATTTGTCTGTCTGCAGAATGGCTTCACACCCCTCCATATCGCCTGCAAGAAGAATCACATCCGGGTGATGGAGCTGCTGCTGAAGACGGGTGCCTCCATCGACGCTGTCACAGAGGTAGGTGGGCTGCAGCCCATCCCCGGGTCTCCTGCTGCTGCCTGTGGGGAGCCAGCAGTGCTGCAGGGGATGATGGCCCCGGTGCCTCTGCTGGTCCTCAGGCACCTTCTTCATTGTGGCTGAGAGCTTTGTGCAGCTCAGGACCTGTTGAGCCTGGCAGCATCTCCCCACAGCCTGATCCTTGCAGGGCCGGGGGACTGCAAGGGAGGCAGCAGCTCTCCACGTTCCCCTCAGCTCTCCTGCCGGGGTGCTGGGGACAGGCTGGGGACCCAGAGTTTGCCTCTGCTGGAGTGTGCCCTGGGGAGGGGGAGGAGGGAGCAGGAAGAGATGTTGGTGAGGCCATCAGCCCCCATCTTGCTTCCTGGCCCTTTTCTCTCCGCAGTCCGGCCTGACCCCCCTTCATGTGGCCGCCTTCATGGGGCATCTGCCCATCGTCAAGACCCTGCTGCAGCGTGGAGCCTCTCCGAATGTGTCCAATGTGGTGAGTCCCACCCTGGCCGGGGCTGTGGGAACTCAGCATGGTGGGGTCCAGCAGGAGGTGGGGATTGCCTGAGTCCTGCGCTCTCTGCTCTCCTGAGCAATCCCTAGTGCCCTCCGCTTTGTGCTGGCAGGAGGAACTGGTAGGGACCAGGAAAGGTTGTGGGCACTGCTCTCTGTGCTCAGACCAGAGGAACGGCTGCAGGAAAGCATATCCCCTCCTATGGCCTCACCGCTTTATCCTGTCCTTGGTGCAGAAAGTGGAGACGCCCCTACACATGGCAGCCAGAGCCGGGCACATGGATGTGGCAAAGTACCTGCTGCAGAACAAAGCCAAAGCCAACGCCAAGGCCAAGGTAAGTACAGAGAACCTGTGCGATAGTCCAGCTCTGGGAACAGCCAGTGCTGGTTTCTTCACTCTCGCTGGCCCAGAGGCTGTCCTGCCAGGGGCTGTGCAACAGCAGGAGCACAGCTGAGGTCCCTTTGGCGTGGCAAGCAAGGGACTGGTCCAGGTCTGCCAAAACAGCTTATCTGCCTCCCTCACAGGATGACCAGACTCCTCTGCACTGTGCTTCACGCATCGGCCACACTGGCATGGTCAGACTCCTGCTGGAGAACAATGCCAACCCCAACCTGGCCACAACAGCGGGTCACACGCCCCTGCACATCACTGCCAGAGAAGGGCATGTGGACACGGCCCTGGCGCTGCTGGAGAAGGGGGCCTCACAGACCTGCATGACCAAGGTAGGCTGCCGTGGCCACTGCCACTGAAGGCACGACCCGTCTGGGCCAAGGCCAGGCAGGCTGGTGGCTCAGTGTCCCTGTCACAGGAGGGGCAGCCTCCTCCTGTGCCACAGCGTCCCCACCTGCGCCTGTGCTCTGCTCCTCATCCCTGTGCACCCTGTGATGGGCTGCCTTTCTCCTCAGAAAGGATTTACCCCTCTCCACGTTGCAGCCAAGTACGGGAAGGTGGATGTGGCGGAGTTGCTGCTGGCGCGCGATGCTCACCCCAATGCAGCGGGGAAGGTGAGTGCTGCTCCTGTGGCAGTGGGAGGAGCGGTGTGGTATGGGGAGAGGCTCTGTCTCACCTGTCTGTGCCCTCTCCCCCTCCCCAGAATGGCCTGACCCCGCTGCACGTGGCGGTGCACCACAACAACCTGGAGATCGTCAAGCTGCTGCTTCCCAAGGGGAGCTCCCCGCACAGCTCAGCCTGGGTAAGGCTGGACTGGGTGTCCCTGGGGGTGTGGGGACGTGTCCAGTGCGTGCCAGCCTGGGGCCAGCATTGGCCCTCAGCCCTGACACTCGGGGAGTGTACAAGGGATGGATCGCCACCAGCTGCTCTCCATGCCGGCTGCTGACACCTACCTGTCCTTTGTGCCAGCACGTGGGGCAGGCAGGGATGCCGGGCCATCATCCTGTCCCAGCAGACAGGCTGTGCCAGGGATGGCCCATGCTGGCAGCGTTGTGGCTGTTGCTTGGGGATGTGTTTCCATGGCAAGAGCTGCTGAGCAGTGCTGCGGTCTGGCAGTTTGGGAAACCACACACGAATGTTTGCACGCTGCTGGGAAGCAGTGAGTCAGAAAACCCACGAGCTCGTGAGAGTCGCCCCACTCTGCCTGAGCGTGGGGAACATCCTCCCAGAGCATAGACCAGCAGCTTTGTTTCCCATGTTGTTTGCAGAAGCTGCACCCTCCTCACGGAGAGGTGGCTGCTGGTGGCCGCTGGTGGCCCTCCCCACCTGGCTGTCCCCTCTCCCCATGCGCGGGCTGCCGGCACACTCGCTGCGCAGGCATCGGGAGCAGCCGGTGCCGGCACCAATCCCCAGTGTGTCTGCGTCACTGACAGCCCGCGCGTCACGCCGGGCAGAGGGTGTCTGCCAGCTGCTTTGCTCCTGCAGCGCAGCAACAAAGGCAGTGCTCAGGGCCCTGCAGTCTCTGCATGAATACTAATCTCACTTATTGCGAGTTTTGCTCCACACCTCAGCCAGACACATTCTCGGAGGAGTCTGTCTCCCCTGGGCTCTCACAGCTCTGGGTGGCTGAGTACTGCTGTAGAAATTAACTTGTGGAGAACTCCAGGACAGCTGATACCAGTCGAACCTGAAGCGGGTGGTCTTTGAAACCCCAGTCTCGGCTGGAGGAGTGGGATTTGGCCTCAGCCTGGGGGCTAGTTGCTGTCAGGGAGAGGGTTCGGGTGTGAGCCTGCATCCCTGAGCTCTGAAGGCGACTGTGAAGGGCAGGACCGGCCTGGCGAGGCAAAGGGGCACCTTCTGTCCCTGCTGGTGTGCTCGGCAGGGCTGAGCACTGCAACAAGCCTCTCTCCCTGCAGAACGGGTACACCCCCCTGCACATTGCTGCCAAGCAGAACCAGATGGAGGTGGCCAGCAGCTTGCTGCAGTACGGGGCTTCTGCGAACGCAGAGTCTGTGCAGGGAGTCACCCCCCTACACCTGGCGTCCCAGGAGGGGCACGCAGACATGGTGGCACTGCTTTTCTCCAAACAAGCCAACGGCGACCTGGGCAATAAGGTAAGTTGTCCCGGTGAATCCTTCCAGGCTGGAAGTGAGCGCTCCAGCAGGGAGTAGCAGACGGGGTGGCAGTCCAGGCCCTAGCGCCTCCCCGCGTTCTGGCAGCAGTGCGGCGACCAACAGCGCGGTGCTGGTCAGTTTGCCAAGTTGGAGACCTGACTTAGGGTCTCTGCTGGTAGAGCTGCGGTGATGGCATTGCCGCTGTGCTGAAACCTCCTCTGTTTGCAGAGTGGCCTGACTCCTCTCCATCTCGTGGCCCAAGAGGGGCATGTGCTGGTTGCTGATGTTCTGGTGAAACACGGAGTCACAGTGGATGCAACAACCAGGGTAAAGTAGCGCATTGACCATGGCTGTGGTGAAAAACACGTAGGGGAACTACCTACTCCAGGAAGGAAGTAGGAAGGTCCAGGAAGTAGGACCAGGTCCAGGAAGACCTACTCCAGGAGGAACAGTGCTTTTCTTTTTCTTTGTGCAAGAGTTTCCCCTCTTACAAACCATCTTGTCTGTGTCTTGGGGACTCTTCCTCCTCTTCCCCACACCTCCCTGGAGGGATGAGTCTTGCCTGCTCCCACAGGTCATCCCTGTACCCTTGGGCACAACATGGTGTGGTCTGCAGTGTGCCCTCTGCACTGGTCCTGGGCTCTCAGGCAGCACCCACACATGCCCCATCGTTCATCTATGCAGGCTTGCCCATGGCATGAACATACCCACACCAGAAGGGGGGGAAGCACCGCTGAGGGCATGCTGAGACTTGATCTCCTCTTTCAGATGGGCTACACCCCGCTGCATGTGGCCAGCCACTATGGGAACATCAAGCTGGTGAAGTTTTTGCTCCAGCACCAGGCTGACGTCAATGCCAAGACTAAGGTATGGAGACGTCCTGTGCTCCGAGGACCCTTCTGCCCTGAGCAACAGCATGCAGGTTGCTGCGGAAGGCTTAGCCTCCCTCCCTGCTTCCCCTTTCCTCCCCTCACGTTGCTCCGAGCCCTCCTGTCTCCATGGCTGGAAGCCCATATGTAGCTACAGCCCTGGGCAAGTGCTGGGTCCTGCAGAGCCCTTTGCTTACCCTGGGAAGGAGGGAACTGCCCTCGTGCTCCAGGCATGAAGCACGGTGTGAGGCCTGGGGGCATTTCTGGGGCAGCAGACTCCCAGAACTGATGGCAGCACTCTCCGTTCTCCCCCGCAGCTGGGCTACACCCCTCTGCACCAAGCGGCTCAGCAGGGACACACGGATGTGGTGACACTGCTGCTGAAGCATGGTGCCTCTCCCAACGAGATCAGCACAGTGAGTATGGCGCTCGCCCACACCTCCTCGCCCCATGGCAAGCTCGGGCGCCTGCTCCAGCTTCCTCCATGGCTGCTGCTGACCCAGTCCTTCCTCCCTGCACAGAACGGCACCACTCCCCTGGCCATCGCAAAGCGGCTTGGCTACATTTCCGTCACAGACGTGCTCAAGATCGTCACAGAGGAAACCGACATCCCGGTGAGCCCCTGGGGATGGGGACCAGGACCCTGTGGAGGAGGGCTGGGGCCGGGAGCAGCTGGGCGAAGGTCCGCTGAGCGCAGCAGCGGCGGCATTGCTCGTGGCAGGGGCTGCCCGGGTGCAGCCGAGCCCTGGCGTGAGGAGGGGGCTGCGGGGGGCTGCACAGCGAAGGGCTGGCTTCCTCTGACTCTGCTCTGCTCCCGCAGTCAGTGGGTGACAAGCACCGCATGAGCTTCCCAGAGACTGTAGATGAGATTCTGGACGTGTCGGAGGATGAAGGTGAGGCGCCAGAGCTGGGTCGCACTGTCCCAGAGCTGCCAGCTGGGCCAGAGCAGCAGGCAGCAGCCCCGGGGGTGGGCACTGGTGCTCCTGCCAGCTGGGGTGGGGGGCTCGGTGCCCCCAGGGTGGGCTTGCAGAGAGGTCAAGGGGACCCCACCAGACTCCTGGGGTGGCACCTCCTGGCTCCGGTGCTTCCCTGTGCTGTGGAGGAGGGATATACCTGAACCTCTGCATGGTCCCGTGCCCCAGGGACAGCGTGCAGAGAGCCCTCGGGCACGCAGAGCCCCCCACCGTGCTCTGCCCCACGGGGTGGTTCCAGCTCCCAGCCCGGCTGCAGCTGGTCTGTTCCTGCTCACTCCCACCAAGACCTCACCTTTGCCTCTTCTTACTTTGCAGGCACTGCTCATGTCACAGTAATGGGTATGAAATGTGTCCCCCTGCCCCAGCTCAATGGCCCATTTCACCCCATGGCCACTAACCATCCGCACGCCACATCCATCTGCTGAGCCTTGCAGCTGGGCTGCTGCCATGCAGCGCAGGCCCTGCCATCCCGCCCTGCCCATCTGTGTCCGTGCTGCTTGCTGTGGTGTGTGACTGCATGAACGGGGCCGTCCCCGTGTTGTGGGGGAGCTCCAGCTCCCTGTCGGCCCCCAGCCCTGTCCCCACTGGGCGGAAGAGCCCGGTTCTATGACAAACTGGTGCCCCACCACAACCGCCCTGTGCCATCCTGGCCAGGGCAGGGATGAACCTGACTGCTCGAGGGTCTCCGTGCTGCTGCAGTCCTCGCCCCATCACTGGGGTTCTCTGCCTGCTGTGGCAGGTGGTGGACCCCCCCACTTAGGGCATTGGCGAGAGCCGAACCCTGGTGACCCCCTTAGCAGGTGTTAATTGGGCCAGCAGGCAGCGCTGGTTGGGCTCGTGCCTCCAAGGAAGGGTGCACAGATGCACTCGGCAGCGTTCGGACATTCTTCCCCTGTCTGCAGCCCTGTCCTCAGCATCTGACAGCAGGGTGTCCCCGGCAGGGTGTCCCCGGCAGGCTCTGCTCTGTGCTTGGTGCGGTGGGAAAGGGGTCGGCTAGCAGCCGACACTCCTGACAGCTGTCCCAGCTCCCATCCCACTGACCGGCAGCACCGGCCTTGCCACTGCCAGCAGACCCCATGTGGCAGAGGGCACAGCCGCCCCGTCGCTGGCTGAGACCCGGAGACGAGTGTGTGTGGTCAGCAGTGGGGGCAGAGGTGGGGCCTGGCTCCAGCCCTGAGGAGGGGAGAGGGCAAGATCTGGCCATCTCTGCTCCCTTGTCCTTCTGCCTCTCTGTGTGCTGAGCCAGATCTCGGTTTCAGAGGAGGAGCTGGTCGCACCAAAGCCCAGGGACCAGGAGGGCAAGAGGGAGATGCTGGAGTTTGTGACCACAACGACATTGGAGCAAACGTAAGAGGCATTGGATGGAGGGGAGGGAGCGGGTACGGGGCACGGGGCCAGCCTGGTGCTGGGCTGGGGTGCCAGCCAGGCAGGGACAGCTCTGGGCAAGGAGTGGATTCCTGAGCCCCCGCTGGCTGGCATGGCAGGCAAAGATAGTTGGTGTTGTTCCTGTACCGGGACATGGGTCCACTGCCAAGTTTGCCTTCGTCCAGAGGTCCCAGGACTCCCTGGGGGTGGCCGGGGACTGAGGGGGCCAGCCCTGCCACTTCAGCGGCTGTCACTGTCCTCTCCTGCCAGGGTGGAGTCTCCAGCGGTCCTGCAGGTCCCCTGCGTCCCACCTGAGACTGTGGTGACCAGAGCGGAGGAGACTGAGCAGGTAGGACCTGTGGAGACAGAAGCTGAGCAAGTCAGCCTGCTGCATGCACCCTCGGTGTCCCCGCAGGAGGTGAGCATGAGACACAGCCTGCCATGGGCCCCGGAGGCATCCCCTGCTGGGGGGAGCCCCCCTCATCACCACAGAGCCAAAACGTGGGGTGGGTTGTGGGGATGGACTTGGTGGTATGGGGCTGCCCAGGGAGGGTTGTGAGACTGGAGGGGTGGGCAGGCTCAGCACCCCCAGATAGGACACTGTGTCCACGGTGTCTCTTCCCTGCCTTACACAGGCCTCCAAGGAGTTTGACGAGGACTCCCTGATCCCCAGCAGCCCTGCCACGGAGACATCGGATAACATCAGCCCAGTAGCCAGCCCTGTGCACACAGGGTAAGTGCCCAGCCCATGTGGCATGTGCACGCTCTACGCGTGAGCCAGCTGCAAGGTGCCCACCTGCCCATGCCTCTGCCTGCTCTAGGTTCTTGGTCAGCTTCATGGTGGACGCCCGTGGCGGTTCCATGCGAGGCAGCCGGCACCATGGACTGCGCGTGGTCATCCCACCCCGTGCCTGCGCAGCACCGACCCGCATCACCTGCCGCCTGGTGAAGCCCCAAAAGCTGCCTGCACCCCCACCGCTGGCTGAGGAGGAGGGTCTGGCCAGCCGGATCATTGCCCTGGGGCCTGCCGGCGCCCAGTTCCTCAGGTGAGCTCAGCTGGGAATGGGGCTGCCAGAACCATGGCTGTCCCTCAGGTCTGGGCTCCTCTGGAGTCTCTGCCCGCTGTCTCAAGACCTCTGCCCGTCCCTGCTTCTGGTGCAGGAGACGTCCTGCCTCTGGCCGGGCACAGCATGTTTCTGGGGTGGGTCATTGCAGCATAATGGAGCAGTGGCCGTGCTGTGATAGGAAAAGCCCTGACCAACATGGTCCTGGTGGGCACAGAGCCCCGTGTCCCAGAGAAAGGGGTGTAAGCAGTCCTGCCTTCCTCCTCTGGTGGCTGTACAGCATGGGCAGGTGCTCTACACAGGGCCACCATGCTGCCTGCGTGTCCCCGCAGCAGCACGTGGGTGCAAGCACCCTTCCTCTGCTGTCTGCAGCCCCGTCATTGTGGAAATCCCACATTTTGCCTCGTATGGGCGTGGAGACCGCGAGCTGGTGGTGTTGCGCAGTGAAAATGGCTCTGTATGGAAGGAGCACCGCAACCGCTTTGAGGAGAGCTACATGGACCAACTGCTTAACGGCATGGATGAGGGTGAGTGTGCCAGGCAGGCGGGGGCTCAGCACCCTGTGGCTCCCCACGGGCAGGGCTGTGGCTGCCCTGGGTGGTGGGACGGGGCTGAGCGTGGTTGGTGCTGCTCGGAGGGGGTGGTGGGTGACAGCCGCGGGCTTGGTGTGTGAGCGCTGATGGCCGTACTGCCCTTCCAGAGCTAGAGAGCCTGGAGGAGCTGGAGAAGAAGAGAGTCTGCCGCATCATCACCACCGACTTCCCTCTCTACTTCGTGGTCATGTCCCGGGTTTGCCAGGACTGTGATCTGATTGGCCCTGAGGGAGGGTGTTTGAAAAGCACACTGGTGCCCATGGTACAGGCCACCTTCCCGGACGCCGCTGTCACCAAGCGAGTGAGGCTGGCCCTGCAGGTGAGCCCCGCAGAGCCTGGCCCGGGCCCAGCTCAGCTCCTGCTGGCAGCGGTGGGCAGTAGGTCTACAGGGCAGGCAGGGGTGGGCAGCAGGTCCAGGCTGTGCCCCAGTGTGGGGGAAACCGGCCCTGGTGCCCATGGTTGTGCTGCCCGCAGGCGCAGCCCGTGCCAGACGAGTTGGTGACTAAGCTGCTGGGGAACCAGGCGACCTTCAGCCCCATTGTCACGGTGGAGCCACGTCGGAGGAAGTTCCACCGCCCCATCGGCCTCCGCATCCCACTGCCACCATCCTGGAAGGACAATCCCAGAGACAGCGGCGAGGGTGACACCACCAGCCTGCGCCTGCTCTGCAGTGTGATCGGTGAGGCTGCCGACCCTGCCACGCCAGCGAGTGTGGTCTCCGCTGGGGACGGGCTAGGCCACCCCAGTGGGATGCAGCTCCTGGGAGCTAAGGACAGGTCATGGCGGTGGAGAGAGCAAATGCCTGGGGGATGCAGACTCCGGGTGTGTGGAAAGGCAGCGTGCTCACCCTTGCTTTCTGCTGCAGGAGGGACAGACCAAGCCCAGTGGGAAGACATAACAGGCACCACGAAGCTGGTCTATGAAAACGAGTGTGCTAACTTTACCACCAACGTGTCTGCCAGGTGAGACCTGAGCGAGCATGTGCTCATCTGGGGACGTCTGCTGCTCCTCGGGCCCTCTTGGGGTGCAGCCTGTGCCGGCAGGACCCTCCTGCCCCTGTGCTCATTGCGGCGGGGGGCAGCTCTCCTGGTGCCACCGGGGACCCTGCCCGGCAGAGCCCCAACACAGCCCTCCCACAGGTTCTGGCTGGCCGACTGCCCGCGCACCGCCGAGGCCGTGCACTTCGCCACCATGCTGTACAAGGAGCTGACGGCCGTGCCCTACATGGCCAAATTCGTGGTGTTTGCCAAGATGAATGATTCACGGGAAGGCCGGCTGCGCTGCTACTGCATGACCGATGACAAGATTGACAAGACTTTAGAGCAGCATGAAAACTTCACTGAGGTGGCCCGCAGCAGGGACATTGAGGTTAGTCCCCAGCAGCTTGCCCGGGGGCCAGCAGGGAGAGGGCTGCCCAAGCAGGGGGAAACAAACCAGTGGATGCCCGGGGAGGAAAGTCGAGTGTCCATGTCCAGGGGCAGGGGAAGCAGCACTGCACAGGGACTGACCCTGCCTTTTGCTCCCTGCCAGGTGGCGGAGGGGATGCCTTTGCACGTTGAGCTCTCAGGGAATCTGGTGCCTGTCAAGAAAGCCACTCAGCCCCGCACCTTCCTCTTCCAGTCCTTCCGGGAGAATCGTCTCGCCATCCCCATCAAGGTACTGGCAGGGTGCAGGGCTGGGCTGTGGCCGGGCCCCCTGCCCGCCCTGTGCCAGGCCACCCTAACCGGGCTCTCACTGCTCAGGTTCGGGACAGCAGCCGGGAAGCCAGTGGCTCCTTGTCTTTCTTGCGCAAAGCCATGAAGTACGAGGACCTCCAGCATGTGCTCTGCCACCTGAACATCAGCATACCACCCTGCACTAAGGTCAGTGCTGGGTCTCTGGCACCTCTGGGAGGGGGCAGCAGGGGGCCCGTCCCTCTGCTGGGTGCAGGAGGCAGCCCTCACTGTCGGCTTTTCTTCCTCAGCTGCTCCTCACGGCCATGCCATGCCGTTCTGGGGCTGCAGGAGAAGCAGTGGTCCCAGGGCAGAGCTGCTGCACTCTTTTCAAACTGGTGACCCTTTGATTTGTCCCCACTCTCACAGGGAAGTGGCAGTGAGGAGCGGAGGAGGACACTGACGCCATTGTCTCTGCGGGAGCGATACAGCATCCTAAGCGAGACCAGTTTCGGTATGCAGCCTGCCGGGACCATTCAAGCCCAGTGCTGTGCCTACGGGGCCGTGAGACCTCCACAGCCAGCACCCCTTTCCCCTCACCACCCGGGGGCAGGGCCTCACGCAGCTGAAACTGTGACTCCCTCTTCTTCTCCAGGCTCCCTGAGCAGCACGGACAAGGCAGACCAGAAGATGGTGGACATAGCAGAACAGCTGGGCCTCAGCTGGGCTGGTGAGTCCACAGCAGACAGCTCTGAGGATGCTCAGCACTCCTCGGAAAGCTGATGCTGAGGAAGGCTGGAAACGTGCTGAGGGGTGGAGTGACGATGCGTCACACCATGCAGGGAGCCGGGCCCCAGTGCGGTTGGTGTGCATGCAGCCCGCACTGTCTCCTGCGGCAGGCTGGCCCTGCTAAACTGAGCGTACGTGGCACTGAAGTGAACCTTCTTACAGCTGTGCGCGCATTCGCATGCACACGCACACATGCCAGGCTCAGGTTTTGTTCCCAGTTGTACATATTGCTGCTGTTCGTGGAGGCCCAGCCCTGTCGTGGCAGCCACACACCCAACGGCAGTACCCGCACTTCTCCCGAGTGTGAGACACTGCTACACTGGTCACAGCCAGCCTAGGCAGAGGTGCTTCAACCTCTGCTCTGTCCCAGCTCCTGCATGTTCTGCCATGTTCAGGTGTATGTGGCGTGGGGGACTCTGTGCCAGGTCTGGCCGAACCCTTCGTGACATCCCGAGCCTTTTTGGCCCGGGAACTGGTGGTGGGCACTGGGGGGTGTGATGCTGAGATGTGGTGTCTCCCTCAGAGCTGGCTCGTGAGCTGCAGTTTGGGGTGGATGACATCAACAGGATACGTGTGGAGAACCCCAACTCCCTGCTGGAGCAGAGCATAGCCTTACTCAACCTCTGGGTCAGCCGCGAGGGCAAGACAGTCAAGAGTGAGTATCTGCGGTACCCTGTTACAGGCATGGAGATGGCAGGGCTGGCTGCGCAGAGGGGTGTGCATGCTCAGGTGTCTCTGGTTGGCTTTACACCACCAGTTCATGCACACCTGCCTACCTGGCGGGTGTCTGGGGCATGGCTGTGGTCCCCCAGGGACCACTTTGCTGACACTGTCTTCCCCCTGCAGTCGAGAGTCTGTACACAGCGCTGAGGAACATCGACCGCAGTGAGATTATCAACACGCTGGAGGGCTCCGGCCGGCAGAGCCGCAGCCTGAAGGGCAGCTGGCGCTACACGGACAGAGACTACTCCCTCTCACCATCCCAGATGAATGGTGAGTCCCGGCTTTTGGCAGGGACTGCAGGAGGGCCCTGGGGGCAGAGTCCGTGCAGGCAGATTGGGGCTGAAATCTTGCCTGCCCAGGGCGCGCCAGTGGCCTGCTGGGAGCTCAGTGGGCACAAGGTGCTGCTGACACACCGCAGCCCCCTCTTCACTGGGGCTTATGCTGCAGGAAGCTTGGCCCTGCCATACTGCCTTCTCAGAAGCTCTCCAGGTGGGGTGGACACACATTCCTTATCCCGATGTGCCAGTGAGAGGTGCCTCTGGCTGTGTGAGCTGCGCGGTGGCTGGGGAGCTCACAGGGTCCTGGCTGTCCGGCTGCGGCGCCAGGCAGAGCATGCCTGGGTGCGGGGACACAGCCGGGGCCAGCTGCAGCGTGTGCCGTCGGGGTGCCAGCACACCGGGCAGGGACAGGGCTGTGTGCTGCTGCAGTCCTGCACTGTGGCGCTGCCCGAGCAGCTCTGGCTCATCGCTCTCTCCCTCTCTGTCTCTCCCTTGTTCTGCTCTCTCAAACATGCCACCCAGCGCCGTCAGGTGCGGGCACACCTGTGGGTCACTTCTTGCCACCTCTCTTCTCTGAGCTCATCCTGGCCTCTCCTTCTCTCATCTTCCTCCACTGCCTGTCTCCACTGTCTCCACCTCAGCTGAGCCCTCCCGGAGCCTTGTCCTGCTCCAGCAACAGCATGTCATCAGGGACCACCCCTCTCATGGCTGTCGTGCTTGCAGGAGGTCATCCCAGGCCTCCTGCACTGCCTGCGCTCCTTCCCTCGCTGGCCCTTCGCTGCTTGCCCCCGGCCAGGCACCCGCACAGGGGAGAGGTCCCCTCTCTGTACTGAGGTCCCAGCTGTCCCCCATGCCGTGGCTGTGGCTAGTGATCCCTGGCTGCCTGGGGAGCAGAACAGGTTCTCTGCTGATCTCCGGGCTAGAAAAGGGGCTAGTGGCTCAGAGCTGAAAAAGGCTGAGCGAAGCCATCTGGGTGGTGGGAGTGCCTGGCTTGGCTGTAGTCCATGTTGGTGTGCCCGGGCTGTGAACGTGGCCCTGGGTGAGGAGGACGTGACAACTGCTTGTAGCCCTGGGGACACCAACAGGGTTGTAGGGCTCTGGCTGCATCTTGCAGGGCCGTGGGATTGCATGACGTACCAGGGCCATCCTTCCCTGCTCATGGTACTACTTCCAGCCTGCTCCTCTGTGCTGCGGAGAGGGGCTGACTTTGGGAGTCGGTGCCTGCCAGACTTGGCCACTTGCACTCCAGGCTGACTGTCAGCCCACTGATACTGGATGGGGGCTGTGGGCAGGGACCCAGGACCTGATGGAGCAGGGTAGCAAAGAGGGCACTGTCCTGCAGTGTGGTTGGGGCACCATGTGGACCCCAGGCCAGTCCTCCCCGCAGGGAGCGGGCAGCTCCAGGGCTCGAAGGGAGGCATCGCAGCACCGGCAGGGACCATGCAAAGGCAGCAGCTGCTGTGAGCGCAGCCGTGCTCAACCCGGCCACTGGGGCTGTGGCATGACCATTGCTCTCCATGGGGCAGGCACCCTCCTGGAGGCTGTTTCCCTTCTTGCCTTGCTGTGCTTGTGCGTGCGTGAGATGGCTTCTGGAGATGTCGCCTCTGTCTGCCCATATAGGTTATGCTTCGCTGCAGGATGAGCTGCTGTCCCCTGCCTCCCTGCATTACACGCTGCCATCCCCGCTGCGTGCCGACCAGTACTGGAATGAGGTGGCCATCATGGATGCTATCCCCATGGCTGCCACTGAGCAGGACGCCCTGATGGAGATGTCCGACATGCAGGTGTGGTCCTCGGGGCTCACCCCCTCGCTGGTGACTGCTGAGGACTCCTCTCTGGAGTGCAGCAAGGCCGAGGACTCGGATGCCACAAGCGAAGGCCGGTTCCCGGGGCAGCTTCTAGCAGATGCTCATGGCCCGGACCACATGGGCTCTATGGACCTGGTTGAGGATGACACAGTGGACTCAGATGCCATGAATGGCCTGATTGACCTTCTAGAGCAGGAGGAGGGGCAGAGGCCAGAGGGGAAGATGCCAGCCGGTGATCGCCAGCCAGGGACCGGGGAGCAGGACCTGGAGAGTGAAGTCTCTTTTGTTTCAGTTCAGCAGAAGGTGCAAGCCAGGATCACAGCATCACCCACCGTTAGCCATGTCGCGGAGAAGAGCACAGACAGGTACTGCGGCCGGGGGTGCCAGGGTGGCCGTGGGAGGGGAGCAGAACTGCTTCGCCAGCTATTGCCCTGTGCTGGGCCAGCTGCAATGATCTCCCAGCTTTGCTTGCTTCTCTGCTGGTTTCCGGCTCTGGAGCCCAGGCATCCCTGGCAGACAGAGCAGTGGCTTGGGCCACGTGCCTCGCACCCCTCTGGAGACGCTCTGGGGGGGTCCTTGCAGACCACTTGGCAGGGACCCAGGCAGACAGCCGTGCCCTGCATGTAGGTTGTACATACCAGAGCCATCTCAGCCTGGGCTGTGTCCTCCTGCGTTCCCAGGGCTACCAGTCCCATGAGGTCCCTGGCAGAGCCCAGTGATGCTCCGCAGCGTTGCCTTGGGCTGCGCGGCTGTGGGTGGGCAGGGAGCGTGGCAGGGAGGAGGCCTGTGCCCTTTGTGCATCTGCATTTTGTGCTGCTTGTGCCGGGCGCCCAGCAGCGCCGTGAGCTGGGGAGCCCAGCGCCTGGTGGGGTGCAGGCTGCGCCGGTGTGCCTGCCGGAGGTAGGCTGGTGCTCAGGGTGCAGCACTCCATGGCAAAGCTGACTGCCTGTCTCTCTCTGTCTCTCTCTCCCTGTCCCTGTCCCTCTCCGGTGCCCAGGCTGAGGGACTGGAATGCAGAAGGCTCCTTTATCTCCTGCCTACAGGACCTGACAGAGGGCTCCTGGCAGGAGGGGGTCACCCGAAGGCTGCTCCCGATGCACACCACGGCCTCCGGGGCACAGGGCCAGGAGCAAGAGCAGGTCCTGGTGCCAGCTGTGGAGCTGATGCGGGTCAGCTCTGCAGAGGACAGCGACTGGCAGCCCCAGCACCCCATGGGCGGCTGGCAGGAGGAGGCAGACAGCCGCTGCTTTGGCCAGGTGAGGGTGAGAGCAGGGGGACCCGGCCCCGGAGGAGGCAGAGACGCTATGGACAGCCCTTTCCTGAGCCTGCCACAGGGGCAGACCGGGTGCTAGCTGAGGCACAACTCTCCTGGCACGCTTCCTGCCCTCTAGCAGCCTGGGAGTGCCTCTCAGCCCAGAATAGCCTGCTGTGCTTGATACCTCAGCCCTTGCTCTCCTTTTATAACCCAGCCAGCCTCCCTGCCCGCTCCCTTATTGAGTATGTGCCCTGGCCGCCGGCCCAACAGCCTGCCGAAGCCACAAATAGAGCTGGTCGGGGGGCCAGGCTGGGTGGTGGGCATCCTGCCACAGCCCCGTGGAGCCGGCAGGTACAAGGTGAGGGCAAACGCCTTTCCCCAGCCGGGGCATGCACAGCCGTCCCAGCAGCATGGCCATGCTCGGAGGTGGTTGTTCAGCTGTGCAGTGCGTGTGCCCTGATTCACGTGCGATTCCCGTGGCACCCCAAGCCCCTGGCTCCTGCCTGGGGCTTCATTTGTCCTGTGACAGAGGGCTGCACACTGCCCTCCCACCACAGCCAGCAAGAGAGGTTGATGCGGAGCTGACGGAGAAGGGGGACAGGGCTGTCCCATTTAGCGCCTGGCTGGGGACAGGCGGTGCTGTCTCCGTCCAGTCCCCGTGACTTTGACAGCTGTGAGCGCAAAGGACGCCCCACCTGCCCACTCCCTTCTCGCCGCCCACAGCCGGCTGAGCTGCGGCAGCTAGGGTTACAGCTACCGCAGTCCGCCCGCAGAGCCGGGGCACCCTGCCGGGCAGGCTGCGGACCCACAGGGCTGCTCCTGCCCCGGGGGCTTTGCCCGTACCAGGCAGATATCATGGCGGGGCTCTGAGCAGCGGGCTCGGACCCGCAGGGCACACGCGCAGCTGCACGCACCGCGGCGGGATGTGGGCTTTCCTGGCCCAGTTGCTGATCGCCCTGGTGCTGCTGGCCTTCTTCCTGGTCAGCTGCCAGAACGTCATGCACATCGTCAGGGGCTCTGTCTGCTTCCTGCTCAAACACGCCCACCGTGAGCTGGACAAGGAGCTTGGGGAGAGCCAGGGGCTGGCGGACGACGAGGAGGTTCTTTCTGCCAGGGTCGTCCGCCGGCGTGTCCTTGTGAAGGTAATGAGCAGAGAACTGAGAGACCAGCCCTGGGGCAGATGCGGAGGAGAGCAGTAAAGGGACGGAGCAGGGTGGGAGACAGAGGCTGTGGGGTGGGCTGTTCTGCCTGCAAAGGGGCTCCCCTCACACCCCTGAAATGCCCTGCTGTCCCTCCTGTCACTGCAGGGCAACGAAATCCTCCATCTCCCCGGAGAGCAGGTGACTGAGGAGCAGTTCACAGATGATCAAGGCAATATCATCACCAAGAAGGTGAGTGATCAAGGGCACGGTGTGGGCAAGGGCACGCCACAGCCTTTCTCCTCTCCCTCTGCCCGGCTGCTCTGCTCCTCCCTGCAGCCCGGGGGCCCATGCAGGGCACCCGTGTCCCACCGTCTTCGGTTACGGTCACAGCACTTCTCTGGCCAGACCCCGCGCATGGGACAGAGGCTGCACAGCGTGTGCAGTGCTGGGCGAAGAGGGAGGCATCGTGCTTGGGGGCTAGCTGTGATGCCTGGCTCTGCGCGTCTCCACAGGTCATCCGGAAGGTGGTGCGTCAGCTGGGCCCTGGTGACACGGGTGACAGGCAGGAGCAGGAGGAACTGATTCTGGAGGGCTCCCTGCAGGAGCCCCAAGACCTGGAGGCTGAGGACGATCACTTCATGAAATACTCCATCCTGCACCGGGACGGTCTGGGGGCCAAGGTAAGGTGTGGCTTACAGCCTTGCCTTGCGGGCACCGTGCCCAGGGCCAGCACCGCCTTTGGACTCCCAGGCTCTGGGGCTCCACTACCCTCTATCCTTTCCTCTGCCTTGCTCTCCTCTCCTGTTGCCCCTCTAAAGCTTCCAGGGGCAGCTCTTGCCCACTGCACCAGTCTTCTCGCTCAGTGTCTTCTGCCAACTGACTCTGCTTTTCCCTCTCCTGTCCTCTTCTGTATGTCTGTCTGTTCACCTGGGTGATGTCCTGCTTCCTGCCCCTGCGGCTTCCTCAGGAGGAGGTGCGAGTGCGTGTCCCGAAACCGGAGGTCTCCGGGGGCAGGATGGGGGCTCAGATAGTGAAACGAGCCAGCCTGAAAAGGGGGAAGCAGTGACCCCTCAAATGGCCTCTTTTGAGGTAACCCCACCTTTGCTCTTCCTTCTGTCCCAGCTCCCCATGCTGATGCCTGCACTGAGCTGCCGGTCATGCCCATCCTCCGGGGGAAAGTGTGTCAGGGCTGTTCCCAGCTCTTGGCCTGCAGAGAGGGGTTGCAGTGCTGCAGCAAAGTGCTGAGGGTGGGTAGCGGCGTGCCCCTGCTGCTGACCTGGCCCCGGGCCAAGAGCCTGGGCGCAGTGGGCACGGGGTGCCCCGTTGCGCAGCGATACTCCAGCTCGCTGCTGGTGCTGGGTCAGCCTCTGCACTCAGCACTCCGCTGCAGCCACTGGGGGATGCTACTGGGGTCACCGCGTCCTGGGTAGTCTGGGTGATGGTTCCCAGTGACAGGGCCATGGGGTCGCTACTTCTGGTTATGCTGGGCTACAGCAGAGGTATAAGCTTTGTCCAAAACTGCTCCAGGGAATGGATAGCATTTGTGTGGGGTCTGAGCAGGGCTGTCCCCTTCATCCACAGTTGTGCAGCCTTGTGGCAGGCGAGACCAGCCCTTGGAGCCTGGTGCCCTGCCTCCCCTTCCCACAGGGTGCAGCTGGACACCGGCAGGACCATGAGCCAGATGAGGTGTCAGTTCTCCTGGGCCATGCCCTGTGCCGCTGCTCGCAGCACTACTGCAGGGGGGTGCAATTGACTGCCACTGCCAACCACGTGTCGTGGCACGAGAGGGCGGCAGTGAGGTCTGCTCAATCTCCTGTGACCAGGAATGGGGTGCAGGCCATGGCAGGATACTGCTGGTGGACATCAGGGATGCAGGACTGGTGGGGTGCAGGAAGATGATGCTTGTAGGGGCTGAGGACAGGGGAGCTGTCTTTGACCCAGGACATTTCTGCCACTGAGCCCTAGTGTGAGCACTGAATCATCCCTTGAGCCTTGTGCGCGCCCTGCTCCCCCTGCCTTCCCTGTTGGGTGGGACAAGTCCAGGCTCCAGACAGGGTGCTTTGCACAGCACACTTGGACCCAGCTGCATCGCTGTTCTCTGTGCGCTCGCTGCTGGGCTGGCAGGGCAGCGCTTGTGGGAAGGTGCTGCACGTGTGCTCCTCAGCTGCCAGGCGCTGCCTGAGCCCAGGAGGAGGGTGCCAAGCAGGGGTCCTCTGGCCTCTGCTGTATGTGCATGGCTGTGTCTGTCTGTCCTCCGTCTCCCTCCTCTCTCCACTGTGTTAGTGGGCTCTCTGTGGGTGCATTACAGTCAAGAGGCTTGTGCTTGGGGACACAGGTTCATGCAGACCGTGTCCTCGCACCTACTCCCCAGACAGCCCCTGGGTCTGCCTCTCTCAGGGGCAGTGCTCCTGCTGCTTGCTCTTGCTGTTTTCCGTAGCGTGCTGAATTGGCCCAGGGTGTGCATTAGGAGTGTGTGGGGTCTTACCTGCTGCAGTGAGAGTGAGGTGCAGTCGGTCACCCTAGTTGAGGCTGGGGGCTCAGGGCTGGCCGCCTCTATCCCAGAGCCTACAGCAGCCGTCCCAGCTCCGTCTCAGTGCTGCGTTGCTTTTGGTGCTGCTCAGGTCCCGCTCGTTGCTGTTCTCTGCAGCTGGGACAGCACCACCAATACCATCTGTGCCGTTGCTGCTGGTTCCAGGCAGGGCGCTTATTGATGCTCTGTCGCTGTCTCTCTGACACCCCCAAAACTTGTCTTGTGGTAGCTGGGCAGGATGGGTGCATGTGGGACAAGCACAGGGTGCAGAACAGTCTGGGACTGCATGTACCGGGCTGCCCCCACCCTTTCTCCTGGCCTCCCTGAATGTCTGGTAACCCCATCTCTGTCTCTCTCTGTGTCTCTCCAGGATCTCACCTCAACACCAAACCACTGAACTCCACCCAAGTTCTGACACATACCTGAGAAGAGAGGAGAGAAAAGCAGAGAGTGGAGGGGAGCAGGGCTGGCTGTACATGTTTCTATAGGCTAATGGCATGATTTCTGTATGAGACATACTTACCGTCCTATCCGCATGACTGACTGACTGCAAGACGCATGAGCTACAGTACTTAAAACTGACGGAGGGGCCTCCGTCCCTGCCCCGCTGCTGCCAGGAGCCCAGCGACAGCAGCACGCACCAGGGGCATCCTCTCAGCTCCTCTGGGAGACAAGAGCTGGACTGGCAGAAAACGAGAGGGAAGGAGACTGCACCCTCGTGCGTTTGCGTGTCTAAACGCATCCCCACGCCCCTGCTCCAGCTGCAGGAGGGAAGCTGGGGCAGCACGGCACTGCTCACCGTGGAAGGAGAGGGGCTCGACCCCCTGTCGCCCGTGCTGCCTCCGCTGGACTCATTTCTCATCCCTCTCAGTGAGTGTTGGGTTGTGGGGAGGGCCGCAGTCGCCAGGGGGTGCGCGAGGTGAGGGCTGCAGGGAGCGCAGCTGCCCTGGGCAGAGGGGCTGGCGCGGGGCTCCCCTCCCTCTCCCCAGCACGTGCAGTGTCTCCCGCCAGGGCAGGGCTCTGGGCTGAGCACTGAGCTCGTTGCTTGTGTTGGAAGTGTAAACTGTACAGCAATCAGCCTTGTGTATATGAACCAATAAATACTATGCAAACCCCTAGGGACACTCTAGCAGTATGTACAAAGCACTAACAGCTCTGCTCCCAAATACCTCTTCAGGCTGCAGGACGGGCAAAACCTTTGGAGTACGTGAGCAGCTCTGGTGAACGGAGCTGGGAGGCTATAGGAGTAAAAGGGCAGCGGACGGCCCTGCCCTGTGCCCCTCCGGCTGAGCCTGGTCCCTTCCTGGCCTGAAGAGAGGGGCCCACGGGTGCAGTCCCATGGGCCTGTCCGTGGTGCATGCCCCAGGCTGTGTTAGATCCAGCTGGGGTGAAGCTGTAGGCTTGCACTGAGGTGCTCGGTGCCCAGGGACGATGGGTAGCGAGGCAGAGCAGGGGCTGCTTGTGCCACGTGCAGGGCCGTGCCTAGCTCTACTCAGCACAATATCTGCTCAGGAGATGAGCCAGGAGCTGGCAGGAGCCAGCAGCCCTGCAGTGAGCACCCCATGTAAGGGCTTTGCAGGGTCCCCTGGCTCCCCTCCAAGGGCACAAATGAGCATTGCCCATTGACCCCGTGGATGCTGACCCTCCCAGGACCAACCCCGGAGCCACGGTGGGCTGCTTCCCCGGTGGCTGCGCTGTGGCCAGGTGAAACGCCCTGCAGCAGCCTGGCCCAGGCAGTCACCCTGGGTCCGGGGCAGCCCTGGGCCGGCTGCTCCAGCAGGAGTGCAGCGATGGGCAGAGCTGCCCAGGCAGCTCCGAGGTGTGCAGGACTTGACCCCAGTAGGGCCAGAGGCAGGTAGCAGCAGTAGGTCCCATGTCCCCAACTCTGTCCCTTTACCAAACCAACATGGGGGCCACGTCTTTGTAGCACAGTGGTGTGGGGACCCCCTGCTCTTTCCCATGGAGGTGGCCATGGACCTGTTTTGCAGGGCCTGAGTTTGATCTCCGTGGCCATGGGCAGAATGAGCCCACCTCCAGCTTCAGGCTGGCGGCCCTGGCAGGGCAGCCCTGTCTCGCAGTGGGCGTGCATCTGCAGGGAAAGCCCCTGGCTCCCCTGTGGCCAGGCAGAAGCCTGGCTGCAGCGAAGCAAATGACCCAGCTTAGCCTTGGAGAGCAAAGCAACTCCTTCCCCACCCCAAAGCTGAGCCATATAGGCACAGACTCTCCATCCATTGCCCGTGCTGTGTACAATAACCTCCCTAGACCCACTGCGACAGCTGACTCCGTAGCATCACCGTAGAGTTGTGTCTGGGTCCTGTGCTTTGGCCTTGTATACGCCTTAGGGAATGTGCTGTGCTGCAACCGTGCCAGGCGCCTGCAGTGACATTGCTTTGCGCTCGGATTGCTCGTAGGGCTGGTAGGGGGAGGCTGCACCCGACATTGAGCCTAGAGAATGCTGCAGTCTGCACACTAGAAGCTTTTTAGAGATTTTAAAAATTACTTTTATTTCCTTTTTTTAATTGTTATGGAAACAAGCCTTTTGGATCTCTCCCTGTCTTAGCCCCGATGTATAGATCATTCCCTGTACACCAGCTATCAGACTATGGATTAATAAAGAAACCAACACAGACCCTGTCTCATCTCTGCTTGTCCGAGGGCGCGGGGAGGGCTGCGGCTGGGGGGTGTGTGGCCGTGGGGGGGTGGTGTGTCC